TATGTGTATTACTAATCAGAACCCCTTGACAACAATGTGTGGGAGCGTCACTATCATGAGATAGACTGGGAATATGTCAAGCTCCAATGTTGGCAGGATCTTAGCTGCTTGGTTTTCCGAAATAAACAATGCCCTGCCTTCTAATGTCCCTTGATTGTGCAGCCATATTGTAGGAAATATAACTTAAAAATGCCAGAACCATTTTAGTAACGCATGAATCTCTGCGGTGTGCATTTTTGTGCATGTCTGAATGATCACATGCATCCCTGGGTGGATGACTTGATGTCCAACTAGGCCCACGTTGCTATAAAACAGGAGCATTAAGTCAAATTTCTTTCCAAATGAAGCCCCATAGAGGGCGCCATAGGATCCTATCTAAAACTCATCCTCACTGTTACCAAAGGTAAAGAGTAGTGTTTAAATATTAGAAAAACTTTAATAGAAAATGAACACTTGCCACTCGAATGAACTTCTGTAGCAAAATAGACTGAAAAAAATCAAAAGTAAAGTGGCCACAATGCAAACTTGTGTTTCCTGCGTGTCATATATTTGGACTATTATTTGTTATTGATGTTACATATGTGATGCATGATGAATTAAGTTATTTATAGTGGACATATTTGCATATCAAATTTGAATCGGTAACGCATCTACAGCTGTGAAGATAACAGCGCAGAGCTGGAGAACACTACTTGAATAAATGTGGAGATGCATTCGCTGAAGTGGGAGTTGAGCAGATGAGGAAGATGGGAAGCTAAGATGCTTGAGTTATTAGATTTGTCTTTTTAGTCACATTTCCAAATTGTTCAAAAGTTTCAGCCATGTGGGTGAAATTTCAGCGAGCCCTCAGAACTCATGCAAAGCGTGTCAGCCATTTCTGGTCATCCCCCGAGTTTTGATTTGCATGAATACAGGAAAAAGGATTTCACTCTTATAATAGAGGTCATAGTAAGGTCAGATGTTTTTGCATGTTAGGAATTTTTAACACCTTAAGTAAAGACCCATTTAAACTACAGCAACCCAAACAGGTTTTAACCCACAGCATTAAGGCTGGTTTTCAGATGATGCTGTTGATTCTGAGTCTGCCCTCATTGGTTGTCGGACACACTAACAGAAATCTGGACTTTTACCAATCAAACCTGCTTTGTTACTCTGCCAGCATCACATCTTTACACAGCCAACAGTCCATTTTGGCAACGCTGAAATAGTTCTGAGACTTCCTCCAGAAAACTGCAATTTGCAAATTGTACCATTTATCAGAACTGTGTTTGCTCCATGTGTCATTTCTGTGGAGCAAAACGGGCGAAACTCTGAAACTATCATCTTCTAGTTACCCTAAAACGAATTCATTCCCAAATCTCATTAAAACCGCGGCTGATGAAATTGTATAAAACATCGCTGACACATTTCTGGTATCTAAAATAATGGGAACACAGTGGACAAAGCTATTTTTTTATGGCAATGACAAAGTGTGAGAGTCAAATCATTGTTTATATTTATTCATCACTCTGTTACATTCTTACATAAAGGCTAAGTGTTGAGAAAGTTTTGACAATTAAAGATAAGGAAGGGGGTAAGAGATTTTTGGCCAGAGGAAAGTGTTATCATGAAGTGGCCACCCCACAGCCTTTTGAACTTCTCCTTCTACTTCAGATTTCATGGTTACAAAGCTTTAAGTGGCCTGTGATCCCCTCCTCCCCCCCACTGGTCACCACTTGACAGCGAGCCTGTTTACTCAGGCTTTTTACCTGAGTGGAAAATTTCAAGTGCTTCTGTCAAAATACCACCAACAAATCTCGTCAGCAAAAGCAACATGTTGCTGTGAGATGGCACATGCAGTAATATTTCATAACTGGGCAGCAGAAGACCAAAGGTTTGAACTAAAACCTGGATTCTGACTGGAAGACAAACTTCAAATT